GTTGGCAAATCACGACCAGGGCGACGCGTTTGGTCGCGCATGTCGCTATAATAGTGATTGGGAGAAAAGCAAACCACGTTCTCACATTCTCATGACACATCAACGCATCACTAAATACCTATTAGTTTCCCAAATGTAGCGATAGCAGTTGGAACCACATGGCAGATTGTCGAAACTTTCCGTCATTTAATTCAAAGGCTATAAACAATTCCCTAAAATATTGTTGGAGTAAATGTGAATTCCGTAGTCGGAAGCAGGCGCCATTCATTTCCACGCTCCCGCAGGACTTTTTAAATGATTTCATCCTTGGAAGATTTCCGAAAATCGCTTGTGATTTTAGAATCAGAATCAAATAATTGATATTTTTGAAACTTTGACATTGGCTACATGCATTTGGACGGCAACTAAGCGTTCAGAAACGCGTAATTCATATAGGAAGTGACGTAAGTAGTTTTTGTTTTTAAAAACACCTGATTTCTATCAAAGTGGCTCTGGGGCGAACCATTTGGATATACGTATTTAACTTAAAACGTTTTACGTCTCTTTTTTTTCAAGCTGCAGAAAATTTAAGAAACGAAGACCGTCCGCAACAAACCTATGAACTCACCCAATATGGTCACGAATGACAGACGATGAGGAAGGAGAAAAAGGAATGAAATAAAGAATTATTGGGGCCGAACTTGTGCCAGAAACAAGAAAAAGAAGAGTACACGAGAAATCAGCAGCGTGCGTCGACGGCGGAAGCAGCAAGCGACGATGTGTCGGCGTAACAGCAGGCTATCGCGCCGAATCAAGTGAATGATTCGGCGCAAAGGCGCATGGCTCTTCATCTACTATGCTGGTCATCTCGAATATTTGATCTAGCGATTTAGAATGTTGGGGAAACATCTAGGGCAGTACTCATTCTGGCCTCCTAATCTTTTATGGTCGGGGGAAGAGTATACGCGAATCTTTTAGATGAACGGAGAAGCTATCTTCTCAATCATGCACGCGGCAATATGACCAGACCAGTAAAATATTTGTTTATAAGGCAGGAGCAAGGAATTGGTTAGACGTTCCGCGCGTTCCTGTTGCTTAAGATGAGATCTGGCTTCTTTCACACCTGAAAGAACCGTACCCCCTAAATTGTCAAGCCATGATAAAACAATGTGTTACTGCGTGTTTTGCGTCTTGACGGAACGTTAATCCGCCATCGTGTTGGACAGTTTTGCAGCGCGTACCTTAGCACTGCTAGAAAAAAAAAACGGAGTTTGTAAAAGTCGCACGAAAAAACGCATTGACATAGTGGTTGGTGTAAAGTAGGTAAACTAACGCTTCTAAGGTAATTTAGAAGGCCCGAAAAAATCGGTTTGTCAGGCTATTGCGCTGCAATTTACTAAAGAGGTGCAAGCAGATGAAAAAAGTTTACAGTGAAAAAGAAAAAAAAAACTTACCTTGCTCAAAAAATGTTCTCTGCAATTTACACCGCCATTGCGCAGACGACACACGCGTAGGGAGAAGTGCTGCCGACATACGGCGTACGCCGCGTCGAGGGAGCGTCGGCCGGTTCAGTTTTTACAGCGGAGCCATTAAGGGTTAGTTTTCCCAGTTTCGTGTCCATAGACAAATAAATCTCGACACAACCCTCTGGACAGCTACCGCCGTGTGTGAGCGACGGCGGCAACTAGACAACCGGATTTCCGTTTGTCTGGTTGCCGCCGTCGCTCTTAGATGGCGGCGCATAGTACAGCTCCGCTGCTCTCCCTTTTTCACCAGAATGGAAAGGCTGAAAGTTTTTGTTTGTTTTTTTGCGAGATCGTCTGCTATTAGCTCAAGTCAGGCGTACGCCATGTGTCGGCAGCATTTTTTTCTAGGCGTGCATCGTCTGCGAAATGGCGGCGAACATTTCCCAGAAGTTTTTTTAACAGAGTAATTTTTTTCTTTGATTTTCCCTGTAAAATTAGACTGCCTGCTTCCACCTCCGTAGAAAATTGCAGCACGATAAGTTGAGATAATGATCTTTTCGTGCTGCCTAAAGTGCCTTAGAAGCGTTTGTTTTATATGCTGTAGGAGAACGAAATGGCGTGAAGCATGGTGTCAATAAAAAACATACTCTGCACTGTCGAGCTGAACTAGAGAATGTTTACAACTCTGACTAGGAAAGACTAAAACAGCCATTCATCCCATGCGTGCAAGTACGAGTAATATTGTCGCGAATTAAAACATAACCTTGACTAATAAAATTTAAAGTGAACATTTAATGCTGCGAACTTGTGCCGAGAAACATAAAGTAAGAAAGACATCCTTTGACGGCGACAGAAGGACGACTGCCATGCGAAGCCATGTGAAGCTGCTTTTGTAAGCGCGTGGATATCCAGCGAAGTTTACGAGCTCGAACAAACATCAAGATTCTCGAGTCATCTGGAACATTCCAGTTGTGGAAACAAAAGAAAGATAAAAAGGACAAGCGCTAGCCAGGATCAAACCCCTACCAGTGGTATGGGAGTCGAGCATGCTGTTGACTCAGCTATTCGCACGCGGCAATATGCCGGGAAATTAACTTTTGCAAGATTTAATGGCGCTTGCTCGCTTGTATGGGCTGATCGCTGGTTTCTTTTTGAACAATGTATATCTCCACAGTCTGCTATGAAGAAGAGTAATTTAGTTTTTCTTATTGTTTCAATGTACTATCTGACAATTGTCTCGATCGTGCTGGCATGGCTATGCAATGCTTTGAAAACGTGTTTTATGCTGGGCGGAGTTTCCATTTCTTTTTTTATTATTATAGACTGCACTAAAAAGGCAGAAAATGTAAAATTCTCCCTGTAATTCTGGGCTAAGTTCCAGTAGGCCCGAACGTACACTGCCGAGCCAGAGTAAGAACAGCAGCCGCTTGGTGACCTATGGAATCTTCTGCGGTTCTGCTTCTTGGAGTTATAGGGTTGCCAGTATGGTATGGCTATGAAGCCGGGAAAATTATATGGCATATCTGGCAGGCGCATGAAAGCAGCGCGTTTCGTCGGCTCAAGAATTGGGTGTTACTCACATGTTAGTTGGTTGTCGTCTGAAGATTAGACATCTTCAACACTTTTCTGCCACGAAAACTCGCAAGATTTTATGCGCATCTTGAAATTTATTCAAGGATATCTAGCTTTTTAACACGAAAAGGTGTTTTGATTTACACTAATAGAAAAAGACAACTCGGAACAATGTGTTGCGGTGGCTAGGTCAGCTGAGTTTATTGTACCCAGCACATACATGTATGGTCACGCAAAATGTTGAAAACAAAAGAACATTCTCTCTCTAGAATAGAATATGGCGTTGAGGGGACCTGAAGAAAGTCGCCCTCAAAATGAAAGTTAGTTCGTATTAAACACCAGTCAAACCTATGCACCTTCGACACCTTATGAACAGACATACATCAAGGCACTCTGGAGACAGATAACTGCCGCTTTGCAGCACTTCTAAGCCTTTCCAACATCACAGGTTGGTGGCGAAGAAAAATTAGTGAACGCAATAGCAGTTACGTTCAACTAACACACATTTCTTGACTAGCTCTCTGTTGCCTCGGAGTAGTACTGCGCGACACTGATTTATAACGAGAGACGAGAAAGGGAAACATCACCTGAGACATCGAACGTGAAATCAACAAAACGCGGATTATCTATCTACTTGTAACGTATCACTTACAAATACAAATTGCTATAATTGATCGATAACCAACTGTTTTGTGTAAACGTAGACTCACCTCTTATTGCTTGTAGACATGTGTTCAAGCAGTGATTTGTATGTCTTTCAGCTTGAAGGCTGCCGCTACTAAAGGGCTGGAGTTTTATCGACGCGAAATTGTCTTCAGTGACCATAGATTGTCGCACGCGTTTTCAGTGGGAGAACCAGACCAAATAAAAACATGTTTGAATGTATCACCATTTAGCTGTCATTGTGGTGCTATGAAGCAGTGGTTGTACTCGGAAAAGTTGAAAGAAAATCGCGATCTAATAATCGACGTTCAAGGAGGCGAAGACAATGGAGGCTGCATTGTCTTAACAGTGTTAAGGCTACCGGCCTGAGCTGCTTGCTCCTGTTGCGGAAAGAAGAGTGCAGCATAAGCTGTGAGCTCATTCGGGTAGCCTGCTCAGAAGTCATGTTAAGACAAAACACAAAGTAAGAGGCACAGAGGAGTCACGCTACCGCTCCGAAGTATTATTCGGGACACGAACCTGAAACTTGAGAAGCAATTCAATCAACTTTTCCACAGCTAGGCGTGACTTATAGCAAAGTGTGGCTTGTGAAACCAGTTGTTAAGGCCAGATTAATCACGAAGGTTCAATGCATAAAAACTCAGTAATGCGCGACATGTGCAGCAATAAATGCCAACGGAAGACCAGATATAGATTTTTTACGCCTTTACACAATTTTGGCTTTTACAATTTAGCATGGTGAAAGTGACATGATGCACGTGGCGTGCCAGAGTATTTTCTTCTCCAGAATACATCCGGTACTGCGTTTTTGTTTTCCTTCCACGACGCGCAGGGGTTATGAAAGACGATGTGTCTTTAAGAAACTATTAATTGGAATACGTTCGTGAGATGTTTCGAAGGTTCTTATCGACATTTTTAAAAACAATTGAAAAAAAACTAAAAATGTAAACCTGAAATTACTCGAAGCTCCGTCATCGTGATAGAGGGGTAAGGGGGCAGTGATTTTTTTTTTTTCAATAAAGAAAGCCTTGTACTTAACATGATTTTGTTGAATTTCGGGTAATGAGAGCTACACTTGCACGTGTCACTGCCTTTCCCGCGTTAAAATTCGGTTCTAAATATGACCTTTCTTATGTAAACACATAGTTAAGGGAGAGTAAAAAAAAATATCAGCGAATCTATATTGCGGTAAAAAAAGTAAGATCATAATGTAGAGAGAGAGAGGGACAAAAAATAATTTGATAGAATCGAAAAAAAAAAACAAAAAAAACATTACGCCTTTTGAGGACGAGTTGTTGCATGAACATTTTTTCCTCCTCATTTCTTTTTGTTTGACTGTTGATGGGACCGGTCTTTACAAAATCACTTCGGAAGACCACATTTCCTTTTCAACGAGATGACGTCGGTCGTGACCAGGACCTACGAAGACGCAAGTCTTGGCGGAAGACTGAAGAACGAAACAGGAGTGATGTGGAAGCAACAAGAAAATATGACCCTACGTTCGAACAAGTCGTTCAGGGGCGCTGCCAGGAATGTCATGGTTTCAAGGTTCACTTGAATATAGATCCCCACATGGCATGATCGAGCCAAGATCCCAATTCGTCCTGTTGCAAGTTTTGGCTTATTGGTACACGACGCTCGGCCGGGACCCACGATGACAGGTCCGTGTCAGGAAGGTCCTTGCACAGCATCAGCGGATTCCTGCGGAAAATACAACCTAATATGTTGGTACGCTCGAAGAATGTAACTACGCGTTTCTGGCAAACTTTCACTAACCAGAAAGAATTTCGTTATAATTTGAGTGTTATTTTGATTCTCTAGGATCAAGTCCATGAATGCGTGACAGGTAAGGTAATTAGACTGGCACTTCTGGGGAGTGGTATATGATATTTTGTTTACGTGCGGCAATTCGTTCCTGTGCCTAACTTCCAGATGTATTTTCAGATTGAGGCGCCAGGCGTTGCACACGTTGGAGACTGCCACTTCACACCAATTGTATGGTGGTGGTCCAGTCAACAGTGACTGGACCACCACAGTGTTCCGATGGGTGCATAAGGCAGGTGTCGAACAGTCCTCGTTTAATCGGGGCAGTGTATCATATTTTAGCGAGATAGCGTTAAGGGGTTCGTGTCGCCGAAAATTGGTCGTGTGGCAGAAAAGGCGTGGCGTGACGAAAAAATCCTGATTGTTCGATAGGGCCACGACGTCACAGCCTCGTGTGCTCGCACGGGAATTTCAAACAACCCAAAACGCTCACGGGAAATGTGACGTCACTCGTTGAATGGAAGTTTTGAGAAAAACATGACATGTAATGCGAAGTAAAAACCACCGCATGTAGCAAATGATTTCACTTTGCACAAAATTTAACTTTCCTTGAAAAATAAAAAAAATAAACATCTGAAGATTTTTAGGCGGGATTCGAACCCACGACCTTTTGGTTGCGAGCCAGACCAACACCACCTAGACAGAAGACTTCCGCATGGTCTCCTCTCTCTCTATGAAACATCATGAGGGTCGGATCGTGCTAACTCGGCTATTGGACCCGAGCCCGTCCTTCGACGCGCTGATTGGACAGGAGCCCCAGCCGAACACTGACACAACACTCGTGTCCAATCGCACGCTTCAATCGATCTGACTGTGATGACGCGTGCAGAGGCCTTCTGTCTAGGTGGTGTTGGCCAGACTAAAGTCCCTTGATACTTATTTTACAAGTAATGACAACCAATACAAAGGACAAAGCACATTCCGCTGGAAAAAAATGGCAGCATTCAGTTCAAACTTCTCCTGTACGCCGCCACTCGTTTCCTAAAAACTGAACCGTCATGCAGTTGGCGCTTTAAAGAATGTCGCTACTCGTAGGAAACTCTTATGTAGAGACCTTAGGCCAGACAAGCTCATGGCCACGTCCGCCGCACTTCCTGCTCCCTGGCAGGAAGAGCACGTGAACCGAATGAGAAGGCGATGCGAACGGGGCCCGATAACACTATCACGTTCCACTTTTAAAAAAGAAGCTTAAGCGTCCTCTAAGCTTTTATCAGAAAATCTAAGTTATAATGTCTACCAGACATGTTTATGAAAATTATTAAGAATTTCTTTTCGCCGTAAACACATTTGCACAGGGCTGTTACACAATCACCTATTATGATGAAGGCCTGCGAACAACCACATCTTCCTCCATGAAATGTCATCACATTCGAATGCCGTCAACTCAGCAATTTTACCCGCGAGAACGATGCGGACCGTCCCTCGACAAGTTCATCCGACGCGATGACCGGTCGACATCTGGACGCAGCTCCCGTCTCCAATTTGCGTCTTCTATCGATTTCAGTGAGATGGTGTCAAAATTGTAGTGCACATATTTTGATTACGGTATTCTATGATAGTGTTCGGTGTGGACCGGGAGGTGGGGCGTCATATATTCCGGAGAATCTATAGCTCTTCAGCCACTCATAAAGCGTTCCCAGCCCTTTCGACGAGGACGTCGGCCCACACAAATAAGATTGTGGGATTGGTTTATATGTGGTTAAAGTTAATACAGCGACTTTCTCGCTTGTAGTTGTTTCCCACTACCTCTTGCATCACCGCACGCTGAATGGACATCGGCGCGGTTCAGCAAAAACCTCCACCCTTGAAGCACTTCATCGCTTCCCCAGCATATTAGAACAGCCCCGGATATGCTAAATGGGTCAATGCATCGAGAAAACATTTAAGCAAGAATGTTTACGCGTGTCAAGAGTCCCCTTACAATCTTGATTAATAATGCATTATAGCTTAAACACTATCAGTTACACGGAAGGAAAACAATCCGTTTCGATATATATTCCGTATGCTTTCATAACCGGTCGTTCTTGCCTTAGTGCTTTTTATGAAAATTTTATTTCATTTTAACTTTGTTATTCTATCCGTTATATCCGTTTTTAAGAACGACGAATCCGTAAACTATGGTTATAGTCCTATAGGCAACCTAATATAACTTACACATACGGCTAAAAAAAAAATTGTTTTATCTGAGTGTGCACTTTTTGTTTCTGAGGTTTTGTAAACTTTTACGATCAAGTATCTGTTTCCACGACAGTCGCCTTCCCTTTGATTTTTTAACCCGGACAAACCTGGTTGACACAGTCGCACAATCTTACATATATTAGAAAATTCAAAATACAATTTCAAAAAGTCCTTCCCATTTTTTGAACCCGTGAGGACGAGTGAACCTTTGGAAATTCGCAAGTGTGATCCATCATTAATCCGCTTTGACAACTGCTGTCGCAAGACACTGCACCCGGAGTCGAATCGCCCACTTATAAATATCGGCTTATGAAAACTTAAATTTTTGGTGACAACGGTCATTTCTATGTTGTGGAAGCACTATATTATTTCAGAAACTATGACACATAATCTCTTGTTTGATTTTCACCAAACTATTTTATTTATGTTTTTGTTTTACCCCATTGTGCAGAAAATCACTTTAATTGAATCCTAGTGAAGCAAAGCTCTTGAAGTTCGTTCTGAAGGTATCTTCAGTGCCAGTGAAACACGGGAATTAAATTGGCTATCGACAAATATTCTTTCAGTGTGTCGCGGCCACTACTTGCTAGAAAGTACTCCAGATTTTGCTTTTGGGCGTCACGAATGCCAAAAACCTAGCCAAAGAACGGTTCATGGTAATATAATAATGTATTTCCCCAAAACCTCCGTTATTTTAGACCAAACCGGTACAAAGCCGACACCGGAACCGAACGCTTCGTATTGAACCCGAACCGGAACGAAACCTTAATCTGATGTGGCGGTTACCGGTTCAACGAAAGCGGTTCAGGGCCAATTGTGCAAATAATTGGTCTTAATGGGAAAAGTAGCGTGCTTATTTTTCTTACATAGCCAAGACTAATCTACATGCTGTCAGATATTTTTACATTTCGTTTTTATTGCAAATGTAATAAAAAAATGCATCATAATCAAAAGCAGAGACACAAAGAGACCGCGTGGTCAGCGAGCTCACTCAGTTCCCTCCTCTACTCAGGCATCTGGAGAGCTTCAACTTTACTTTGTTTCTCCGATTGACCCTGGCTGCGCGGTAGCGATGGCTGCGATCTCAAAGCACCGTTTGGCCGCTTGGCTTCGAAATGCCCAAGTGTCGGAGCGGATTGCGCCATTCTAGGCACGGAAGCCTACGCGTCTACGAATGTTTGACCGCAAGATTGACCGCAGTTGCAGGTGATGAGCCATTCAGCCAATCGAGCACCGAGAGTAGACCACGTGACCTTCCGCTTCAGTGCAGCGACACGAAGAAGGAAGGTAGGACCGCGCTGCATCGCCAGTATAGTTTGTAGGGTCAACTGTGGTCCATTTCAACGAAATCTATCTTTTTTTCAACGTGTTCAGAGTGTCACATTGCAGAAAAAATAAAATTAAAAGTATGGGCCGTCGGAGGCAACGTTATTCGGCGATGATTCGAGGCCGGGGGGAGGACGGGGGGGGGGGGGGGGGGGGGGGGGGGAGAGGGGGGGAGGGAGCGATAGCCTTTTTTTTATTGTTTTTGTAGGTTCGCCAGACTAGCAAGGCCAGCATGTCGCGTGTTCAACCATTTTCTCATTTTGTTCGAATTCCTCTTTCATCGTCTTCAACTGAGCATTCGAGAAACGTCGTTCGCTGTGGTGCAATAACCGGAACTTTGTTCGGTGGCTGACAGTTTCAAATGTGAGTACTGTTAAAAATATCACGGATTAAACGTTAACAATTCATGCTACGCAATTGGTTCTGAATCCCTCAGAACGGGACATTTGCAGAGAGCGTTGTTTTGCGGTAAAACGCCAAAGTGACAAGACAAAGCATCGCCACGAGATCTTTAGAACAGCGTTTTTCCGCCGTAACCCAAAGCGCTGTCAAGATGTGGTCACATTTTATTATACATACGCGCTCACGTGCCCGGTCATTGACAGATCGGCTCCTCTGGGTGATGTATACACGACTACAGCTTAGCGAGATTCGGTAAACTACCCCAACTTCGCACTGGACGTACCTGTTTCTGGGTCTTACAGCACATTTGTTTCCTTTCGTTCCCCTGTGAGCCACTCTGGGGCATAGCTGCGACATCTTACTGGATGTCGAAAACAGATAGCAGTTCTAAAAAAAAAGCACGTGTGTGCAGAGCAAAACAAACAAAAACATATGCAGGTCAAGTAATTCAGCTAGAGATGTTTTTATTGTTCACAAAATCACAGCCCAGCGTGCGATCTTCATAGCCCAGCACATGCGTGTTCGTCGCTTCGAAAAGCGAGAAAAGCACGCGCTATATACGTTTGCAAGAAAGGCTCCTGTGCGCTGCCATTTTGAGCGATGCTGGCGCCTCGTACCGTTTCCGCCATGCTGGGGTGCGCCAGGGGCACGTCATTGGGGTGCGCGATGACAAGATGGTGCCGTCTGCTGCATCGCCGATGGCTTACGTTAGCGGCACACTTACTGTCTCGGAACGCAGGAGGATCGAGGTATCCACACAGAATCGTAGCGTCACATATTGTAGGACGGGGCATCTTTCAGGGTTGGAGCTGACTTTATAACGATCGCAGGCTCTGTTCCTGCATGTTGTGGAAGCCAGAGCTGCCGCGAGCGCAGCCATCGTTGATGCAAAGGCCATGCGACTTTTGGCGCATTCTGTAGAGAGCACCTTGAGACTTTAGATCTCTTTTAAAATTTTCGATTTGTTACCG